TAATTATATTGTAAACTATGAACTGTATATATATTAGTGAACTATAGGCTTTTTGCCTTATGGTCAAATAAATAAAATTATTATTATATTATTATTATCATAGAGCAGGTTTGATACTGTTCTCAATATAGTGCAGGTTTGATACTGTTCTCAATATAGTGCAGGTTTGATACTGTTCTCAATATAGAGATGGTTTGATACTGTTCTTAGTATAGAGCAGGTTTGATACTGTTCTTAATATAGAGCAGGTTTGATACTGTTCTCAACATACAGCAGGTTTGATACTGTTTTCAATATAGAGATGGTTTGATACTGTTCTCAATATAGAGCAGGTTTGATACTGTTCTCAATATAGAGCAGGTTTGATACTGTTCTCAACATAGAGATGGCTTGATACCGTTTTCAATATAGTGCAGGTTTGATACTGTTCTCAATATAGAGCAGGTTTGATACTGTTTTCAATATAGAGCACGTTTGATACTGTTCTCAATATAGAGCAGGTGTGATACTGTTCTCAATATAGAGCAGGTGTGATACTGTTCTTAATATAGAGCAGGTTTGATACTGTTCTTAATATAAAGCAGGTTTGATACTGTTCTCAATATAGAGCAGGTTTGATACTGTTCCCAACATAGAGATGGTTTGATACTGTTCTCAATATAGAGCAGGTTTGATACTGTTCTTAATATAGAGATGGTTTGATACTGTTCTTAATATAGAGCAGGTTTGATACTGTTCTCAATATAGTGCAAGTTTGATACTGTTTTCAATATAGAGCAGGTTTGATACTGTTCTCAATATAGAGATGGTTTGATACTGTTTTCAATATAGAGCAGGTTTGATACTGTTCTCAATATAGAGCAGGTTTGATACTGTTTTCAATATAGTGCAGGTTTGATACTGTTCTCAATATAGAGCAGGTTTGATACTGTTTTCAATATAGTGCAGGTTTGATACTGTTCTTAATATAGAGATGGTTTGATACTGTTCTCAGTATAGAGCAGGTTTGATACTGTTCTCAGTATAGAGCAGGTTTGATACTGTTCTCAAAATAGAGATGGTTTGATACTGTTATTAATATAGAGCAGGTTTGATACTGTTCTCAACATACAGATGGTTTGATACTGTTCTCAATATAGAGCAGGTTTGATACTGTTCTCAACATAGAGCAGGTTTGATACTGTTCTCAATATAGAGCCGGTTCCATACTGTTCTCAATATAGAGCAGGTTTGATACTGTTCTTAATATAGAGCAGGTTTGATACTGTTCTCAATATAGAGCCGGTTCCATACTGTTCTCAATGTAGAGCAGGTTTGATACTGTTTTCAATATAGAGCAGGTTTGATACTGCTCTCAACATAGAGATGGTTTGATACTGTTCTCAACATAGAGATGGTTGAACTTTGAATACTATTCTCAAAGTAAGGCGAGTAATAAACAATCATGATGTTTTCTTATCGTGATATTCAGGGTTATTTACCGAATTACTGAAAGGCGTTGGTTTGATTATTTATTATCCGATTTCTTGTGAGAAAACAATTCAAAAATGTCCACAATGACTACTATATACTAGACGAATTGCATTTATCAATTAAAAGCCGATATTTTTCTTTTGCGCTTCTCTGTTTTTGTTTGTTTTTTTTTTTAGGTTTTTCTTTTTCTAAACGAGTCATGTCATTACTACTTAGGCAAGACAATTTTTCAAGAACTGAGCATTTGATATTTATTACGGCCTATACATAATAACTTTTAACCCAAAATATAACAATTCATGATATGTCATATTTGATTTATAAATGGCTATATTTATATCATTATCGATATAACTGGATTTGTATTGACATTATCAGTATTTAATAATGTTTAGTTGTAACTCATAAATAACATACACTAAAATTACTAAGGAAAAATTCAACTTTAAGCGATATAAACTATAAACTAACGTCCAACGTTGTCAGAAACTCCTAAGACGTTTCCTTAAAATATCCACCAATGTGCGCCGAACTTAACCAGGTCTACAGATAGCTGAAGTTGTGCTTCACCAGACGAATACAGAATATAGACTGAAATGTCAATGGGCGAATAAAAAGTCATGTTGTTCGGTAGTTTAAAGTCTTTATGGTGTTGTCAGATCAAATTTCATCAAAATCCAGTTGAAGACTATAATCAGTGCAGAGTACATCATATCATTCTTTAGTCACATTTACCACAACCAGTGGTGTTCCTACGAGGGGCCAGATTTGAGGCTGGAGTGACCCCCCTACCTCCGCAGACATACACACTGTCAAATTTCTTATTATTATAGGATACTTGGGGAAAGAATCATCTCTTAAAAATTATACATGTGGCCCCGACTCGGTCTCCTCATCTAATGATATTCAAAAACGTCACTGATCATAGCATGTTCTATTGTACGGAAGGTAAAATTCGACTATTTTGAGATTTTCATTATAAGGTAAACAACTGAATCTTTATCAGTTTGATCATTGAGAATATCAGTTACCTTCCAATATATAATTATGATATCAATGTGGGTTTACAACGGAAAGATATTTAAAATATTTATGTAGGAGTAGCAATACACTTGGAACAATGATCAAGGTCACCAAGATTAAATTTGCTGATAATCTTTTTTAACTGTTTCTTGTTTGAAGTACGTCTATAACGCCTACGAATCTTAGTCAACCAAGACCGCGAACTTTAGTGAGAAATATTTTCAAGCACGTACAAAATTAACTCTTATACCAGTGGAATAACAGATGTCCTTGAACTTGTTCAAAATTCATTATATTAAATGATAATGACCCGTAACTGGCTTGAAAAAATGATAAATTTTATATGTTTGTCAATTCTTTGTTTCTTTCAAAGGGACGACCGAATATATAGAACAGCTTCGTCAAAAAGTAAACAGATTTAGTTTCATTTAAATATTCGAATCACCTGCACATGACAAATTATAATCTTAGTAGCTTACTTACCTCATAGTAATTTAAATAAGCATCCGATTGTCTACGATCCTGTACAAACGTCGGAGCAGACGACTCTCGACTCAAACGTCTTTTAATTCCCAAAAAACGTTCTTGCGACGCTCGTAGCTCGAGGTTCGCTCGGAGAACACCTTGATCTAACGAATACGCCTTCCGAGTGCGGCGAAATGAACGTCGTACATCACTAGATAGAGATTTTCGTCTACCACTGAGCCTATTTATTACTCTAGCAAACACCCCACCACGTGACGACAAACTTTTATCATCCAGCGATATTGAACTTGAATCGGCCATGGATATGTATTAAATGAACTGTTACAGCAACTCTTTTCATTTTTCCCTCTAGAAAAGTTTCGTCAGATCCTAAATTTGTCGAACTGGGGCAGCTCGTTCCCCTTCCATACACACGTACTAGAGTAAATAGCGAGAGGTTTGAATAGTGAATAGAAAGATAGTCAATAGTCAACTATCACCAATCAAAGACTTGAGATTATTCAGGCCAAGTTAAAGTAATTCATCTATTAAATCATTGTAAATAGAACATTTCTATTGACAGTAGATAACAATTATCATTATAGTCCGATAAGTTCTGACTTTGTTGCAATTTAATCTGATATATCTATAGCTTTTGTTCTTAGAGGCCACTTTCAAAGGTCTGGGATCTTTAAAAGTTCAAGAAAGGTGCGTTTCTTTGACGCCGGAAGGAGAGGTAATCACTATATGAAAACGTCACACCCTCCTTTCTAATTAATAGATTGGGCCATGATTCACTTTATCCAAATAGCTTCCTATACTAGGCGAAATTTTTGTTTACCAATTATACATCTTTGGATTGTCAAGGAATGTAGATAAGTCAAATTTTCTGTAAACAAAACGCGAGTCGTATATCAGACATATTATCAGAGAAGAGTCAGAATGTTTCGGACTACTGTAAATGTAAACGTTACCTATAAAACTGCTAAATAAGGAATATATAATGTCACTGTACGAGTTGTTTGTCAAAATAAGTTTAAAATATATCGTTGCAAAAAAAAAAACGTTAATAAAAATTAGTAGTTCATTAACATATAAATTGTTATTGAAGATTTTCCTGAATTACTAGCTAAAAATTTAACTTTGTCAGCTTGTATAGGAAACTTTTTCACGACTATGTTTTCCTTTCGTGTAACATCAATTAATATATTTGTATAACAATGGTATGGTGGTTTTCTTTGGGGTACTATCTCATACAACAAAATAAATGTGTGCTTATTATATAAGTGCAAAAATACCATCTTATACAAGCTTGTCGTCCAAAGCTAAAAATATTGTAGCGCACTCCATGTTTCCAAATTTAGAAAATGATGAAATTGTTCGGAAGTTATGTAATGTGATGCAGGTGTTTAATTTTTTTTTTTTTTTTTTTTTGCATGTTTTAGCAATTATTTCATTACTGTTGTATGGAACGTTTGAGGTGTTCCATTTTAGATCAGAAAAATAGTTTGTTCCCTTATTAGAATTTCTGGGAAATTTCAAAGTATGAATTTTATACGTTTTTGCTCTAAAATATGTACCAAAGTGTACCAAATCAATTCTTTATTTCATTAAGTTTCTTCTCTCAGACACTCTGTAGATTAATTGCCCTTATGGAGCTTCCACGGCGCTTTCACATTCAGAATCTCGGGTATCAAAAATTATCGATAATAAATTGTTATTTGTTTATGTTATTCCAGGAAGAAAGCACATCACAGTTAGCGATAAAATGTTCGAAAGGAAAGTAGATTTTTTTTCGCAACACGAAATATTTTCTAATGTAATAGATTAGACCAATTAAAACAAGATGCAAGATGCTCTTAATTTGTTACACCTGTGAATAATTTTCCCTTTAGAAATGAGAGATGAAGGTTGTTGGTAACTATAAATAGTATAATAGTCTCGAATTGTCGCTTGCTGGCTGGGAGTATTATCAAACAGTTTCTATAGTGAAAGTTCTGCTATCGCTCTGTATCAAGGCAAAAACTGCTGAAAGTTGTCGAGCTGGGTATTATACTAAAATGTAGTTTATGGCAACAACCAAACTTCGTCTCCACATTCATATTGAAATGGTGTATCGTTTACATCCTTGAAATGATTAATATATATTCTATTTTTCAGTAAGATTAATCTTTAACTGTGAAAAAAGACCTCAAGATCTGATCTAAAATATTCTATAATTGAAAAGCCTTTTTGATCTAGACCTTACTGGCCGATAGTAAAATAGAATTTGTAATGCTTCATCATTTTACAATAACAATACAATATTCTAGATGTTATAAAATAATGACAGGCTTAGAAATATCAATTTCCAATAAGACCGTAACCCTGGAGCCCGTTTCTCAAAAATTCAATCGACTAAACTTGAGAAAAACGTTATTTTCGTTCGTACGTTTGTCCAGATGAGCTATAAGCTTTCACAGACAAGGACACACATTATTACGCTGACGCTCTTTTCCGGCTTTTACTCGAAGTTCTAAATATTGACATTTTGTATTAAAATTACAATTCAAGTGTTATTCATTTAATCATACTATTCATAACTTTAGTTGAAAAATTGGCTTGGCACAAACTCTTGAAAACATTGAGCTCATAAAACTGAGTTGAGCTTGGAACTCATGACCACTGTCAATATTCGCTACCAAACGCAACTGACAGTCGATATGGTGTGAGGGGGGTTTAAGATTGGTAAAAATGTGCAGACCAGTGGAGTTTCGACATCATATACGAGTCAATTATAAGTCATACAAAATAATTGTGTTCGTTCACCTTTACTTAGCTCAATCAATAGTTTTCTGTTGTCAGCAGATGAATAGTCTATCTTACAAAGTGACCACAAAATACAGTATATATTATCTGTTAAATTATTGACCTTTTCATTCAGCCTATTTTTCGGTCAGTAGATTTTATGGTCAATTACAATAATATACATGAAGTCAATTTAAGGTGTCAATGATACAACAACTGGTAGTAGAAGTCACAAACCACCATCGAAACGAGAACATCACTCAAAGCCTCATTTGAATAATTTTCAATAATTGTTGTGACCAAAAAAACTGTGTGTCAAGTGGCGTTTCTAGGAATCATCAAGCGAGGGGGCCAAGTCAGGACCAAGGGATTTTTAAGGGAGGCCAACATATATTAAGAAATATGAAAATGGGTGGCCAAAGCCAGCCCCTCAGTAGAAACGAAAGTCATATGTTCGTTCTGGTTCTGTGAGTACGATCTTGGATATCTTGATTAGGCCTTCTAAAAAACTTTTCATTTAAAAAAGAATTTACATTCGCCCAATCTGGAGAGGGTGGACGCAAGAATTCATACCAATGATTTCACAAGCGTGGATTGTTGAAAAAGAAAAAGAGATCATCTGTAACTCGTAAGTTTTAAAATTTAAACAGGTATCATCAAATGAGGCTGTTGTACTCTAGGAAGACGTATCGTGTACGTTTATTCGACAATATTTACTATAAATATTACTAAGATACTAAATTTAGAAATTTAAGATATATATAGTAATAATATGTAGGTCTCTGTTTCTTGTGGTATATTTATTTTATCATCTTGTTTCAACATGTTAGTCCCATGACCTACTTTTCTTCATTCATGTCAATTATTGCCCAATATTTTGAATAACATCTTCTTTAAATTAGAATAGGAGTGGTTTAATTATGTCATTGTCGTGTTACACAATGGCTTTTTATCTTCTTGGTTACCCCTGTCAGTGATGCAGATCAGAGGGGTTAATATGGATAAAGCGTAAAATTTCCTTCAAGTCAATTTCGGTGAATTGTGGCCAACATGTCAGTTTTCTTGTGTACAAATTATCTAACAAATTAATTTTTCTATCATAACGACCAAAGACGTTTTAAAGTTATCATCGCTTTTTATACGCCCTTATGAAGTATCCACAACTGCTCGTAAACACTTTAGAAGGCACAATTCCTGACCACCGAATTTTGGTGAGGGTTTGTAATCACCCAATGATGAACCCTATTGAAAATCAAAGAAAAATAATTAGTATGAGTTATTGCCCATGTTCTTGAAAATGCGAAAATGTTTAGCTCGAAAAAAGCCAATTCTTAACGGATTTTAACGAAACTTGTTGTGAGTGTTTGTATCCAAGGGTGAACCTTATCGAAAATTAAAAAAAATATTTGAAATGAGTTCTTGCCCTGTTTCATGGAAACGCGTTCAATTTTTAGCTTGTAAACACTCTAAAAGATACAATTATAGACGGATTTTGACAAAGTTGATGACATTGTATATTATCACCCATTAATGAACCGTATTGCATTTCGAAAATGAGTTAAAATTGTAACCGGCCTCGTTCTTAAAAATGCATTCAATTTTTAGCTCGTAAAACACTAAAAGGCTCGATTCCTGTGTATTGTAATATCAGTATCACCCCAAAAAGATTAAAAGAAGTGTATGACTGAAGGTTGAATATTTCATACCGGTGATTGTTACTGTACTGTCAAATGCTTTGAATCTTAATAAACGCGCAGCTTTGATTTTAAATGAAAATATTTAGCAGTACAGTAACAATCACCAGTATGAAATACCGCGTATTCAACCTTCAGTCATACACTTCTTTTGAACTCTTTAGCGCAACACTGAATAATATTGAGTATGAGTTATTGCCCTTGTTCTTGAAAACGTGTTCAAATTTTCAATGTGGGCGTATAAAAATAACTCAAACTATGACATTTTCCAGGCAGTTTTCAACATTTTCATAATATAATATAGATAATGAGCGGATGTTAATAACGACTTCTATTATTTAATTTATAGACGGGTGCGTTTTTTTTTTAATTATTTGAACACGAACACGGGACCACTTCAACTAAATCCAAATTTAAAATAAAGTCATTGGATTCGCCAGTGACATGAGATTTTTTAAGGCATGCTTCACCATTTTTGGAGGTCAATCCTAGTCTTGTTTTGGAAACGAGAATTGTTCAGCTAACCTTATCAGTAATATAGACAGTATTCTCAGTTAAAAATCAGAAGTTATCCGTTCACATTATAGACCTTATCAAAGAGACAAAAATTTTCGGGCACGCAAATTTTCAGATAGATTGAAAAAAAACAAAATGTAATTCCTAATTTATGAAGGATGCTATATTCGTAGTCTACAAATCCAGTACTGGTGAAGACTTTAACATTTACTTGTATTCAAGGCCTGTGCCCATACCCTGATAATGGTGAATTATCACTATTATTAAAGTTAAACTAATAACCAATCAAAGGCGTAAAAGTTTTATTTTACTGATAGCAGAGATGGAGATCGGGCTACCTGTTGAACAAATACGCCTACCATGAATGTTAATATTATCTTCTAAATATTTGTACTGTAGTTTTGTATTTGTTAGTGAACATTGAATATAAACATATTTCACCCCAAAAAGTTTCAACCAAAAATTGTCCAAAGTTTTGACTGAAAATTGTCCTCTGTAAAAACAAATTTTGAAATGATGTGGGCTATTGTTTATATCATGTTTATCAACGCAATCTTATTTTGAAGCTAAAATTCAAATTCTCAAATAAAATTTAAAAACAATTGATATACTAACATACTTTCGAAGAATATCCATTACCTTAGCTCGCCTTTCTTTTCTTTTCAAGTCTTCTCTCGTATTCCTGGAAACCCGGCGTGGTAATTCCTGATCCGGTTCTATTAAAATCATTTCACTATTTGTAGGTATCCAGATGCTCACTTCCATAGCAGCAAACAAATACAGAAACCTCTAACAATGCTCTTCAACTAACCCTTCCTGTTTTGATAAAGTAATTGTGCTAACTGATAGATTAGTTATCAAGAACGGCTGTGACTTATCAGGTTTGAAACCATTGTTTGTACTTGGTGCTGTATCAACCTATGACAATTGGATACATTATGGTAATATTTCATTCTATTATGCCATGTTAAAGTGCACGTTTCAATATATTTTTTTTATCAAAGGCTCTGATTGGCTGTATTCGCAAGCGTACAATCCAATCACAACAGTTATAAAATCCCGTAAACTACAAGAAAAGAGCCTGATGTCTGTTTTTGTTTGTAAATGCAATGATTTTATTGGCTCTATTTGCTAAAGTAGGCCTAGAATCCAGTCAAATCACAGTTTTTACCAACTTAAGTCATGCAAGAAAAGTGTCTGATGTCAGTGTTTTAGGCGAATTTCGTAATAAATGGACATTGTGAAGATGATAATAAATTTACACTCTATACCAGCGACACTTGAAACATTCTCGTTATACACTTCCTCCGTATCCCGATTTTGACTTATTAAATATTAAAAAATATTGAAGAACATAAATTGCTCTTTTAAAATGCGATAGGCCATAAAACATTGATACACATGTAGCAGCTTCTATTCAACACACACTTTCAGATATCTGTACCCATCTAGAATCAGCAGAGTGACCATGCAAACACTTCGATATCAACATCAATCAACAAGAGATGAATAGAAAATAAACCTCTATGTCGGTTCATTCACAAATCAAAAAGTACAAAACAGGGTTAATGGCACGATGTTCTTCCTTTCAAACGCAATTCAGATAGATTTAATAGAAATGTCATCGCAATTTAAACAATATCCTTTTCGAATTAACTTATCTAATTCGGTATATATTAATGGGACTAATCAATTTGGGAAACAATCGTCGTAAATAAATGTCATAAAAATACCAACCCGAAGCCAGTTTGCTAGTTTAACAGATTTGACAACTTTGAAGGATAATAATATATTGATTGGAGTTTGGAAGCCGGTTTTTAATTCAGGGGAGATAACTCTTATAAATAAATTATATTATTTTTATTTAACACATATATCCATCAATAAGTTAATATGATTAAATTGCAAATCTGAATAATTCCTTCGTGATTTTTTTCTGTTGATGCCTCCGCTTTCCATCCATGAAAATTGTTATGTCTTGTTGTCCAGTCGTTTAATAATCAACCCATCAGAGCGGCCAATAAAATAAAAATCCGTACAAGCAAGACAATTCCGTCAATCAAAAATCTTGTCCAAGGAATAGCAAAATCGAGAGTAAAGTTAGTATAGTACTGGACTCCTCTAAAAGAGTGTTTCGAAAAGAGAAAGCATGGTCTGCTTCGCTAACACCGCTGAAATACAGCCAGATCAAAACAAATCAGCCAAAATGCAAAAAAGCAGATTTATTTTATTTATCAAGGAGTTCTCGATAACAACCATAAAATTTCCTAGCTGGAAGGTTCCCCTAATATTTGTGAGGACTTGTATTGTCTTTTGACTTTTATTGATGGTTTTTTAATTGGCTGGCACACTTTGGAAGCTATTGTGTCAAAATTCCACATAACACGATTTTAAGATCAATCTCGTTAGATAGAAATAAGTTAATTTAATACTTCTATAGCTTTAAGACAATTACCTATCGCAGAAATAAGTGAATTATTTACAGGCTGTAGAATAATATTGGGTCATATCATCCTTATTACAGTATTCTCCACAGCAAAAACATACATAACTTCCTTGAATAGTATGACATCCAATTTCATGACTTTCTGGTTTTGATTTCCATTTGGGATCAGAAGTAGCACAACCGCGATGTGTTTCTGAAATAGAGTTTTACGTCCCACTGTTAATGTGTGACTCTGATCGGGCTAACAGTAACAAGGACTGGACAAGGTAATATACGCCCACTGGCAGCTTTAATTTAAATAAAAATATTTGGCAGTACAGTAACAATTACCAGTATGAAATATTCAACTTTCAGTCATACATTTTTGGGGGAGATACTGAATAATATTACCAAGTTTCCTCAAAATGTCTAGAATTGTGCCCTCTACATTGTTTACGAGCTAAAATTGAACGCAGTTTAAAGAGCAAGTGCAATAACTCATACTTAATATTTTTCAATTTTTCTGATTTTCAATAGGGTTCATCCTTGGGTGATTACGAACTCTCACACCAAGATTCATCTAAATCCATCAAGAATTGTGCTCTCTAGAGTATTTACGAGTTAAAAATTAAAAATATTTTTCGATTTTTCTTATTTTCAATAGGATTCATCCTTGGTTGATAACAAACGTGGCTTTAAAACGCCCATGAAAACGCGTATGTGGATACGGGTCTTCCTGTTGAACTCTGGAAAATGTTTGCCGTCTAGCGTGGACAGTATACACCTTTGCGCTAGAAACCGTAGGTGTGTAGGCATACTATATTTCAATCATGTTCATTAATAAAGACCCCCCCCCCCCCCCCCCCCGACCCCCTTCCCACAATGAAACCCTTTTGACAACAAGTTTTCGTAAACTATGATCAAAATTGTGCTATTTGTCTCTTTAATATAATCACTGAATCAGTGCGTATTGATACTTACTATTCCCATCAGGTTTTCTAACTTCAGTAAAACAATGACCATCACAATCATCATATTCTCCATATTCATACGCTTTGGATGATGAAATTTGTCCATTCACGGGGCACCTCCCGTTGGAACATGTACAGGAATGACATCTCTTTATCTTTGAGGTACAACCACCTACTCCTGAAGTAGTTGTCTCGATTACTAGTGTTGTATCGATTACTGTAGATGTTGTCTCGATTACCATAGATGTTGTCTCGATTACTAGTGTTGTCTCGATTACTTCAGATGTTGTCTCCATTCTTGATGTTGTCTCGATTACTGGTGTTGTCCCGGATGTTGGTGTTGTCTCGATTGCTGCAGATGTCTTGATACTTGATGTCTCGATTACTGGTGTTGTCCCGGATGTTGGTGTTGTCTCGATTGCTGATGTTGACACTAGTGTACTGTAATTTGTGGTTGGAGAATCCGTTGTAGATTGTAAAGAAGTCGAGGTATTTTCTGTAAAATTTCCGATGACCTCATCGGAAACTATACCTGCTATAATAATCATAATCATAATCATAATCATCATAACCATCATAATCATGATCATAAATATAAAGCTCACAGCCCCTGCTGTCCGTCTTCGCTGATAGCATGTATGTAATAGGCTGGTAAAAGGTGATATTTAAGTAATTACCCATTTCAAACACGATTAGAAAAATTTTTGGGTGGAACACTACCTGTAAAGGTATGCTACCTCTGAGGATGACCAAAAATTGAAATTTTAAACTTGGCCAATAGGAGTCTTTGTTCATAACTGGATTTTCAATAATAAGCCTACTTAGTTTAATTGAGATATTATTTCTTATATAGGAAATCTATTATTTAGTAATAGCAACAGGTAAGTACAACTGATGAATAAATACTTTTATTGACCAAATTTAAGACTTTATTTTTATCTCCCTTCTTAGTGGTAGTATTCCTTAATCAACGAAAATGAAACGAGATCGTCATACTTACCCAGTCTACCTGTATAGTGAATATGTAATGCAATTGGTATTGAAATAGCAACAATTGCTATAACAACAAGCAGTAGTACCAATATGACTAGAGCATGTTTCTTCTTGCATGTTCTCTTTCTTTCTTTGTTTGCTTCCTCCTATGAAAGAAAAGTAAAGCGTCTATCTGGTATTTATCTCTATGAGAGTTCTGAGATGATCATACTAAGACTTTTCGCCTTACTTTAAGTTCAGTTTGATAAACAAAAATATGATATATTACATGATCATGATCATGTATTGATGGAAAAACTTGGAAGTTTAAACAATTTCACCAATCCAATTTCCTAGAAAAATTAATATTTTAAAAATGTGTCTTTCTTATTTTGATAAATTGTATCGTGTACTATTCAAAAATTGTTCCATATTGAGCCTGAAAATTTTTCAACTAGAAAGGTTTACTAACCTCATTATTTGGAAGGACTGTTGTCTTCTTATAAGGATCACAAGTAGGACCGTAATCACTGACTGTAGGAACTGGAGGTATCGGCGGCGGAAGAGGCGGTAGTGGTAGCCTATCAGTTCTTTTCCTACCAGAAATCTTCTCTGTGTCTATCGCGTCATATATCATAGATTCATCTACTATTGGTACAATACCCCATGTCTGTATATATCCATCATTATCAGTTTTAAATGAGGTTGAATCATTAGCTTTCATTATTATTGTAATATTCACTAAACTATACCTAACTTCTATCTGTCTTTATTTCAACAAATCTAACTATAGGTTAATTTATATAGAAAACTGAACATACTTTAACATACTTTTTGAGAACAAAATCATGCATGGTTTAATTTCAGTTTAGGGGGTTTTGTGTGTAAGATTATACATGTAAAATTTTCCATTACGTAAACTCATTTGGTGGATAAAAATATACTTCTCAGTAAGTAAATATATACCGGTATACATGTACTCTTAAAGATCCAAGCCAACACGACAGGAAATTTCATGACAGCCTTAAACAAAAGAAAACAAAATCACTCTTACAAATGTTTACAGATGTTTTATAATTTAAGATAAAAATTTAGCATCGATAAGCAAATATTGGTGCATCTAGCTATGACAATAAACCCGGTGGGTTCGTTTTGCCGCATTGCCCAACTTGCCGCATCGTGCCCAACTGCATAAAAGCGACTTGTAAAACGAAACTAAAGGTTTCTGATAATATCCGGAATGGCCATTTGTTTCATATGAAACGAAATATTTTAATCTCTTGTCCCGCATCGATTTTCTTTTTATTTATAATTTGGACCCATTGGGAAAATCTAAACTAGTTTTATGGTCAAATCTGGAAGAAAATAAATATCAAGTAGGCTACAAACGATCAGAACCGTAATACACAATAAATAAAATTGGTTATAACTTGCAAGAGTTATGTCCTCTACTGCGTGCCTATAACGTCAACGTCAAAAAATTGAAAAGTAAACTTTTTAAGTTCGTTATAACTTTTGGTAAAGTAAGTAAGTAATTGTTCTTTTTATTAAAGTAGGTAGGTGTAAGAAAACCATATAAGCAGAATAAACCTAATAAGCCTAATAGTAGTACTTATTCTGAGGGCTTCAACTAATAATATCGAGCCACTATAAAACAAAAACCGAAACTAGGTCAAATGATTAATTAACAATTAGTGCGCTCCGTTTTTAATTAGCCCTTTAAAAAAAATTTTCAGTTAGAATCAAGTAGATACATTGATGCAAATAGCATAATTTAGAAATATTTTAGGTATAATTTACGACGTTTTAGATAATGATCAGTTTAAATAGTACCCCTATAAATCAGACAGAAACTAATATCCATCATGATCACAAATGCATTCACATATTCTTGGTGTAATAAAATAAAAAGAGAAAAAACATTCCGATGGTTTCAAATTCAATAACATCACGTATACACAAAAAAAAATATGATATTTTGTAAATTTACACTGAGGTAAACATGGAAATAAACAGAGCGGAAAGGGTTAAGGGATTTCCAACGTCCGGGTTGTTAAATAGAGCTCTGGTACGAGTCTTTTGGTATATTTTACGTCGTGACATCAAGAAATCAAACAAGAACAAGTTTGGCGATTAATTTAATTAAAATGAGATTAGGCTACAATTTCGCATCTTTTTTGTTTTCTAATTTCTTTAGTCTACAAAAAATTGTAATCCGATGTAATATATTATACATGTTATAATTACAGTGAGCTTCACTACTGACCCCAAATTTGAACCACTCAACCATTTGACCAATTAATGATCGTCAAAATGAGTGCCTTCATAGCCAAAGTACAACCTTTCGAATGACAAAACGCATCGCAA